TTTATGTTGAGGTGTAATCCATACTGAAGGTTATAGTCTTTGATCTTCATCAGTAAATGCTTCAAGTCTTCTTTGCTTTCAGCAAGTAAGGTAATGACCTCTGCAATCTCAGGTTGTTATTGAGTCTTCCTCCAATCCTAATGTCACTTTCTTCTTCAGATAGTCCAGCTTCTTGGATTATTTTCTCAGTGTATAGATTGAATAAGTATGGTGAAAGGACATAATCCTGACACACATCTTTCCTGATTTTAAACTACTCAGTATTCTTGTGTTCTGTTCAAATGATGATCCCTTGGTCTATGTTCATGTTCTGCATGAATATAATGAAGTGTTCTGGAATTACTGTTTTTCACGATGTTATCCATAATTTATTATGATCCACGTAGTCAAATGCCTTTGCATAGTCAATAAAACATCAGTAAACATCTTTCTGGTATTCTCTGCTTTCAGCCAAGACCCATCTTCTGAATCCTGCTAGAATTTCAGTCAGTGCCCTGTCAATGTACTGCTACAACCATTTTTTAACTATCTTCAGGAAAATTTTACTTGCCTCTGATATTAATGATATTGTTTGGTGATTTCTAAATTCTGTAGGAACACCTTTCTTTAGAATAGGCACAAATATGGATCTTTTCCAGTTGGTTGGCCAGATAACTGTCTTCCAAAAATGACCAACATGAAAATAGGACATAAATATACTACATTTTAATTTACCTCTGACACTTATTGTCTGTGTACTCTTATTTTTCTAGTGTTAGTCACTTTTTCTGCATTTTGGTTTCAATTTTTATAGCAAGGTATTCCTACTTATTTGATTCTAAAAGAGCTAGGAAAAGGTAAATATTAAATATTGAAGCAATAGTTTAAAGAACAACTTAAGGATACATCGAGAAACATCTGGGAACATGGATTTGTCCTGAAGTGGAAGAGTAAGATTATAAGGATTTCAGTTTTATTGTTCTTCTGCTACTTGTCTATGTTTTCCTTCTTCTCCTGTGATAAGTATGACTTACATTATTTCTAGAAAGCAAAATAAGCATTAAAATATATTTTAAAGTACATGATATGTACTTTTAACCATCATCTGCTTTAAAAGTCAGTTGTGTACTAAGTAAGCCTTCTTTTCAGTTTTCAGTTTTCAGTTACACGTAGAGAGGTGGGGAATACATATGTTATTCTAATGAATCTCATCTGGTTTGGACATTTAAATTGTTCTAACTCATGTGATAGTAGCTAGGTAGTTCGGATATTTATTACATTTTATCATATTTGCAATAAAGAATATGTTTGGGAAAAACAGAATTTTTCTAACTCTATGGGTCACCAAGAATTTTTATCATCCAAGGAGCTCTGGTGGTATAGTGCCAAAGACATTTGACTGCTAACCAGAAGGTTGGTTGTTCAAACCCACCAGAAGGAAGACTGGGCAATCTACTTCCATAAAGAGTTACCACCTCAGAAACCCAATGGGGGTCACTATGAGTTGGAATTGACTCAATGGCAGCAAGTTTGGTTTGGAAAGGGATATTGGAAGGAGCTCTGGTAGCCCAACAGTTAAGTGCTCAGGTGCTAACCAAAGTTTGGTGGTTCTAACTCAACCAGTGCCTCCAGGGGAGAAAAACCTGGAGACTTGTTTCTTTAAAGGTATGGCCTAGAAAA